GGGGAAGCCACTGGAAGGGATGAGGCTGGGACGGCCCACAGAGAAAGGGCCAGGCGGTCGTCAGTCTCAGCACGGTTTGCTCCAGTCCCACGTCAGTGATGTCTCAGGGGACAATACAGCAATAGTACTTAAGCCCTGGGAGTGTAGCCCCTGTGTCTGTGCATGTATGTAAGAATGGGATATGAGGAAATCCCTTCTGCACATGGAGCATAGATAGAAACACTTTGGAGGTGATGGTGTGGCTGGCAGTCTGGTGAGGCTGGTGCTTGCTGGACCAGGGGACAGCTGTGAAGGCCGGAGGCGGCCAGCTTTGGAAAGACCAGCACTTTGGAGGTGATGGTGTGGCTGGCAGTCTGGTGAGGCTGGTACTCGGTGGACCAGGGGACAGCTGTGAAGGCCGGAGGCGGCCAGCTTTGGAAAGACCAGAGCTGAACACTTCACTCAGGGGAAAATGGAGGAAGTATTCACCCAGGTAGTGACAAAATCAGATTTGTGTTTAGGAATGATGTTCTCGACTCCTTTTGGATGAAAAGCAGCAAATATGGATCTCCCCTGCCTGAAAGGCCATGGGCCATTTACCGCGGTGTGCACCAGGCAGGTAACAGTTTTTCCTCAATTGTGGTGGTCATATAAGCCCATGTGGGAGATTGCCAATTTTCTGATTCTACTTCACCATCAACACAGCCATGCCTTCTTTGAACCTACACGTGGCTCTGGTCATAACTCTTGAATTAATTGCCTAATCAGTGAGTTAATTTCCCAGGCAAGTGTTAAAAAGGGGAAGAAAGACAAACTTCATATCACTGAGACTCTTCTCAAGTTGTAAGTCCCTGTTTTATTCCAAACCACAGGTCGTATTAGGTAAAATATGATGCATGTGCCATCAGACCTTCCAGGATGGGAATTACAGGCAGTAGGGAGGATGGGGCATGGCTTTTCTTTTCTGTTCAAAAGTCATGGCTGCATTATCGAACCCAGTGAAAGTTTATTAAAACCTGTGACAGTATCATTTGTTCTGAATCCATACAAAAAGAATATTCATGGAGAACTGGAGGAATGTTCAGCTTAAAAAAAAGTTAAATACAAACTCAAAGCTGAAACTACACAATGGTCTTCAGAGAATTTGGCTAGCACAGGGTTGAGGTGGAAAATGGGTCTAAGGATTTCCATGTGTGTTTCATTATAACAGAGGAAAGCTGTGATCCACATCGCTACTTTCCAGTCGTCCTGACCTCTTCTGCAGAGTGTTAAGGACATGGCTTCTGCTCTGGAGTTTGCGTTCCTCTCTCCTGCTTCTAGCCCTGCCCTGAAAGGCAGTTATTCCTGACCATGGTGCAGCTTTGCTGAGTGGTATGGTGTGGTGCCTAGATCAGTCAGGTAGGGCTCAGGAGCTAATAGATCTCAGGCTGGATGAGTGATCTTATATCTGATAGCTCTGGGGTAATGGGGTACCGGGTTGTTTGAAGCTTTATTTTCCACATACATGTCTAACCTAGAAATCAACCTTTTCCTCATACGTTTTAGAAAATATTTTTATCCCAAGTGCATTCTCACATTACAGTTTTTATCTGCTTCATTTCTGAGCAGGTGACCACTGATTTACCATAAAGAGAAACCTTGGTTATGTGGAATTTTGGGGTTGACCATTGGAAAAAAGGTAACCAGCTTCCCTGACTTGTTCAGGGAAGAACCACACAAACCAGTCTTCCTGGTGAAGAACCAGAGTGCAGTTTGCACAAAGAATATTGCAAGTGCCTTGTACCTCCAGAAAGATGTCAGTAGGAAAGAATCTAGGTAAGGGGAAGTGAGCAGAGGGAACTTGGCATCAAGTCCCCCGGGGTGGGCAGTCAGGACCCCTCTGCCTGTATATCTCAAAGGACTCAAGTGCAGGTGATTGCCATAGAATCTGACCACTGTCCAGAGAGGTAACCTGTGCTCCTCTCCCACATGTACAAGGAACTCGCTGTAAGAGCCATTTCTGGGGGGAGCACAGAACGGAGCTAAGTAGGTGACTGAGATGCTCCTAGATTTGTCATAGGGGGAGACACAACACTTGGAATCTCACTGGTGGGCCTGTCGCAGACAAGGCGTGGGATGGATTGGAAAGCCTGGTACTCTGGTGCAATCATCCTCTGTATAATTTTATTCTATTGTTACCAAAATATAGAAAAATCAGTTCTAAAAAAATGAGACAAAGGATTAAAAATAAATGGTAATTTCTTACCAAATTCCTTGGGCACTGTGATAGAATAGACACACACTTGACCAGCCGTGTAGTTATGAGGGTACTTTGGTGACAAAACCACCCCTTCTGATCCTGTGTACTGGCCTCCACAGGGCGCTGAAACAGAACCAGCAAGGAGCGGTTAGCCCTGTGTGGAGGACGCAGTGGGCCGGGCGGGCAAGCGGGCGACACCTCCAGGAACCTGCGCAGCGAGCTCATCTCAGAACAAGCAAAACACTTGGACCTAACCCTGCACTGCTGGCCAGAGAAACCAGAGGGGACCAAAGACTTACCACTGGACTCACAGCTTCTGACTCAGGACAGGGGCTGGCATCGCTCTCAAGACCAGATTCCAGCATGTACAAATAATAACGAAAATAGCTACAATAATAATAATTATACTGTCTAAAAGACAAATCATTCAAGGACTTAAAATATTTTTATTTTAAATTTCAATTGTGTATGTGTCTGTGTGTATGTGTGAAGGAGGTCAGAAGAGGGCATCAGAGTCCCTAGAACTTGAGTTACAGGTGACTGCGAGCCAGCTGAGGTGGGTGCTGGGGACCAAACCTGGGTCCTCTGACACAGCAGCAAGCGCCTTTAACTGCTGAGCTGTGTCTTCAGCCCCCAATTCAGGGATTTTAAAAAGGCTCCCTGAATTGTGCAGTGGATGTCAATCATAGACTTGCCTAGGAGATACAGAGATCATGTCAGCTTTTGATTGCTGTTACACCATGAGATGAAAAGAAGTCATGGTCTTTTTAAGTTTTGTTTGCATTTCATAGATTCAGTGAGAGGACAACAGAATTAACCAGCTTCTGTGGGGTAGAACTGAAGGGACCAGGGCTGGAGGGCAGAGCAGAGAGAGGGAGAGAGAGAGAGAAAGAGAGAGAGCATGTCTGGGCGTGTAGGCTGTAACTATGATCGTTTGTGAGTGTTCATGCATGCACATATCTATAAGGTTTAGTCACATATCTGTGGGGTTTAGTTGTGTGTGCCTTTGTTTATGTGTGTACACACATGTTCACGGTTCATGTGTCCATGTGTGCCTGTGCATGTGTGTATGTGTATGAGTGTGCATGTGACCGTGTGTATGCATGTGCGTATGTACATGTAAGTGTGTGTGTGTGTGTGTGTGTGTGTGTGTGTGTGTGTGTATGGTGAGGCTGTATATGCTTTCTCCTCCTCCCAGTCATTTTACTGACTTTGATGTTGCTTATCTGGGAACACAGGAAAACACTTCAGCACATGTGGTCAAAGCATCATGAACCTGATGCCCACTGAGCCCCAGTCACTTGTTCAGGTTGTGAGTTAAGTAGGTGACACTGATGCTGGGTATGCGATGCTAGGAGGGGCCAGCTGCTGCACTTCAGGTCAGCTGCAGGGCTGGGACCTGGGAGAGCAGGTCGTGTCCTCCCATCAGCCCCTGGCTCTGTCTGCCGTCCTGTGTGTGGCTTGACACGTCCTTCCCTTGAGTGTCCACTGCAAATGATTTCATCTAAAACTTGCTTTCAGGGTGTGGGAAAGGTTCTGTTTCTTTTTAAGAGTACGTTCTCTTCTTACTATAAATATCAGCTCACATTTGACTGTGTAAACGAATGTGTTTTGCCAAGACATTTCCACATGTTCCTATATCAACATGGTGCTCTGGGTGTGCACACCCTCCCTCCCTCTCCCCTGCCCCCTGGTCTCCTTCCTACACATTACATTATTACAGCTCATTTATTCTTCATAAGGCAATTTTCAAGCACTAAAAAAGCAGAAATTAGAGACAATGTGTATAATCCGTTAAGTGTTAATTAGCATACTGTTAAACCCTAATGGATAAACAGGTCATTCTCCATGATTAATGGGTCTTGGGAGTGTGGTGTGCTGATGGGAAGATGCCCACTACTGGGTTGTTGGGAGACTCAATGCCTGTCCCTGATTTCCTCACCCCTAGCCTGCTGTGGCTTGGCAGGCTCGCCTCAGGCCACAGGACAGTAGCTTATCCGCCTTGCTGCTTTCGAGGGGTTACTTAACGGCACTAACTGTAGCCTTCATGCTCATACTTCATTTCAAAGAAATTTCACAGTTTCAAAACACCTACCTTGACTATTTTACAATTTTAAGTGGAAATGGTAATTTTCCTTTTAGATGGAGCATTTTTCTGCACAGTAATCTCCAAAGTGGAAACGTCCAATGTGATACTGTGACTCAGCCCATCAGTGTAGATAGACTGCTGTCTATTTCCCGCTAAACTGTATAAATTCAGCCTGGTTATTTTAACACTTTTTTTAGCTTCTTCAAAGGCTTATAAGCCAAAGTTCTAAAAATAAGTATAAAGATTAGAAATGTCTTTTATTGAAGCTCGGTCATATGAACTTCAAGCAGAAAATTTTTCACAAATCACTTTCCTATCTATCATCTGTCAATGAATCAATCTATCAACTATTTATCAATCGTCTATCATCTATCAGTCATCTGTCTATCCATCCTCTCTCTACCTGTTGTTCTGTATCTCTTGTCATCTATCTATCTATCTATCTGTCTATCTATCTTCTATCATCTATCATCTATCATCTTTATCATTTATCTATCTATCATCTATCAATTATCTATCTATCTATCATCTAGTCATCATCTATCTTCTCTCACCTATCTATCATCTATCGATCTATCACATCTATCATCTGTATCTATGTATCTATGTATTATCGTCTCTCTATTATCATCTGTCTACCTATCATCCTCATCTGTTTGTCATCTGTCTACATATCTATTTAATATTTTATCTATATTCATCCTTCTATTCATTGAGAACATCCTAGAATGTGTTCGTGAGGGGCTCCTGCAGACCACATGGAAAGTAAACAAAACAGACACACATATTGCCAGCAATCTGAGTAAAAGGAAAGCATTGTGTGCTCCAGCACTACTGAGAATGGCTAAGCCACCAGCTAAGCAAGTGGCCTGAGACTCCTACAGACTCCACAGCCCCTGCCTGAATGAGCAACACCCCCCCGGCCCTAGACTATGAGGCTATTTAAAGTGAAATTTTGAACAGGTGTGTGCAGAGACATCAAGTCAAACATACCTTGGCAGGTTGGCAGGGCACGGTCCCAGGAGGGTTTCCCATCAGCCCCGATCACACACTCGATGGATGAGGGGTCCTCAATCTTGTAGCCAGAGTCACACTGGTAGGTGACTGTGGAGCCCAGCTTGAAGTCAGTTCCGATTCTTGACCCATTCATTATGTTCCCAGGGTCAAAGCAAGCTTCCCGGGGTTTCTCTGCAGAAGAAAGGCTCATGAGGGTCATCAGAATGGCTCAGTGGTTTCCTTTGACTCTCAGCTCATTTCACTCAGGGCCTTGCACAGAGTGCTGAGAACTGCTTACATATACACATTTGTCAGCTAATGACTAGTTAGCTTACTCGTTAAATCAGTGTAGGAAATTCTTTTTCAGTAAACTGTGATTTTCTTTTATAAAATGATATTTTATTATAGAATGATACAAAATTATTTTCACCTAACCAAAAATATACAATGTTGTGTTTCAATTTACACTTGGAGGGCTGTGCATTTAATTTTTGTTTAATTTTGCTTTTATTTTTGTGTACAAAGGCTTTGCCTGCATGTGTGTAAGTATACCACACGTATGTAATGTCCTTGGAGAACAGAAGAGGGCGAATCCCCTGGAACTGGAGTTAAAGACAGTTGTTAGCCACCGTGTGGGTGCCGGGAACTGAACTCGGGTCCTCTGGGGGTGCAGCCAGTGCTCTTAACCACTGAGCCATCTCTCCAGATGTGGCTGTGCATTTAGAAACCAAATCACTAAAATGACTAAGGAAAAGCTGAGGCTCATCGTCCCACACTAACCCCATTGTCTTACACCAACGAACTTGCTACACGTGTTTAAGAAGAGAGTGCGAGCTGGCTTTGCAACAGAATGGCAAGTTCATGAAATCAAGCATGTCTTCCCACAGTGACACAGCAGACTCAGGGCAGGAACAGCGGCTTCTGAACTACAGTTCTCGGGACCGAAAGTGTGCATCAAAGACTGTCAGACTCAGCAGAAAAGCACATCTTCTGATTGACAGGCGTCAGTGTGACGTGTGTGTTGCGGTTGCCCGTGTTTTCCTTTTTAGTGGAGTAATGACTGAGACTCACTGACAGCGTATGAGTCAGATTGAGCTTTGTACATTCAGCGGACAGTGCTGATCTTAATGATCACTCTGCAACGCAAGCATCCTGAGAACCCTGAGTTCAGATCAGGATAGGGAACTCCCACAAAGACACACTGGAGAGACGTAGCTCTGCACCCACTGGCAGGAAGATGCAATCTTGGCACGGCTCTAGATCTGCTGGCTTCTGCTCACCCATACAAGATGACCTTTACTTTCCCCTCATCCCTTTACTGCTATGCAGTCAACATTAGTTATCGTCCAGTAAGTTTAGTATTTTTAACCTTATACGTCCCACTATCAGTAAACCAAAGAATATATGTATATAGCTTCATGACCCATGAAAGTTTAGGTTTGAATTGTGCTTTGCTTACATACATCAACAGCTGTTCATCCACCATGAGCGGTCCCTGTGAGGTCTCCGACTTCAGACTTGGCAGGAGGCGATACAGACATGGCCCTATTTGGCTTAATGTGATGGTCATCTAATTGGTAGTGTGTTAGGGGATGCTAGAAAGGGGATCTAATATCGGGTTGGGCTCCAGGATAACTTCCAAGTGAAAAAAAGCAAATAGTTCAGCTCTTTTCTCTTTGGTCCTGAAAACTGTATCCCCTGAAAAAGTTTATAAACTGCTAATTCTTATATCCACTTTAGAAAATCAAGTGTCAATCATAAATGCAAGGATCTTTGGGAAACGTAAGTGCAGACTGAAATTCTGTTTTTGTCTTTTGGTCAGGATCAAGACAGGTAATGCTGCTGTAGCTCCTAGTTAGGGTCAACATATTGCCAGTCACTTAATCCAGGAATTTCACCAATTACTCTTAGGAGGAAGGGTGCTGTGGAGACAGTACCAGGCGTGCATGAGAGAGAAGGGGAGGTACAGTGTGCAGGGCTTTGTCCCACGCGTCTTCCCAGGTATGAAAAAGCCAATGAACATCTCATCCTGGGAAATTCTTCAGGAAGCACACGTGATCTGTCAACTCTTTAATTAATTTATTTTCTCAGTTATGTTTTTAATGAGCTATGGTTCACCATCAGATAAAGAGAAATTTTCCTGGAAAACATCCTCTCAATGTATAATAATGAGGTTATAGATAAACAGGTTGTGAGCACTGTCTGTAATAGTTTATTAACTTTTCAACCTATAATAATTATATGCTATAACTAAATGGATGATAGACCCTAAACCCATTGCATGATAACTCTTTAAATTTAACAAAGTGTGCCATATTTGTAAACACAGATTGATCCTTAGCGTCTTCTCACTGCTGTCTGTGGTCTCTCACTAATCATGTGGCAGGTGGAGAGCAGTGTCTCCAATCACTTTGTTGAAAACAAACATCCTATTTGGATGTTTGAAATGGTGGCTGACATTTTCGGAATTCTTTGCAGTTACTGTACATGCCTCACAGAACGCTAGAGATTTACTTGTGAGAACTTCCACCAAAGGCCCACCTTCTTTTTCTTCCTTGTTTGCCTAAAAGAAATCAAGTGGCTCCATGTCATCGTTTACTCGGTCATTCAGGAAATGTGCGGAGCATCGACATGGTTACATGCTACACGCACCGTCTCTGCCCGTTAAAATGCGAGCATTTCCTCCGTGTCAGCCAGCGCAGACCCCAGGCCCTTCTGTCCTCCAGATCATCTTCTGCTAGCATCTCTTTTAGTGCTCTGTGCTGAGATATGGCTGAATCACTTCCCGGTTCACCCAGTGACTCAGAGTGGATGGCTGGGTTTGTCCTCAAATGAATGCATCTAATCTTTTGTTCCATTAACCAAGTTGTCAGTTCAGGATGCTCAGTGATAAATCACAATCCTGTTTCTGCTTACGTTTTGCTGTGTTTCCTAATTAGACGACTTCATAACCCTGGTGTATTCTGCGGATGTTCTTGTCTGTTCCACTTAAGAAAGGTTTCACGGGTTCTTGCACTGCATGACAAACTGGTGGCACTGCAGTCCCCCTCGGGTGGCTGCATGCCGAGACCGCCCTGGTGTCCCTCCTGGCCTGTTGTACCTAGGAAGCATCTCTGCAGTCTGCCATACTGACCCTTTGGGTGCTCGCTCCCGACTGCAGCACCAGCTCTATTCTTCTTGAGACTGCAGAAGAGAAGCCTTCCAACCTCCGGAGCCATAGCCCCCAGGTAAAGGTGGCCTGTCTGCTCTCTTCCAGCCACCCATGTGGTGCTTTACACCAGCGCCTTTAGCGATCGATCGCCGGCTTGATTCCCCCAAGTGGGCCTGTGACATGCCAGGTGCCGGCAGGAGAGACCAGCTCCGACGCCTGTTGCTTTCAAACATGGTATACCAGAGGTATAGAATCCCACTCTGATAGCTAAATTGTATGGTTTTTAATATGTATTTTAATAAAGAACCTTGCGTTTGCAGATTTTGATAGTTTAGGCAAAGTAGTTTTCTACTTAGAATCATGTAAAGTGATACAAATCCATTAAAGTAGCAACAGAGGACTCCATCTCCCATTTTCCTGATAATTTCATTACAAATTAAACTCAGTTGTTTCAATAAATGTAAATAATTTCATCGAACTTCTGATAAGCCTCCCATGGTTACTGATGGTACCTGGTTAAATGCTCTTGTCTAATTCTGTGCAGTACCCCTTGTCTTTTCTTCACAAACCCATGGATGTGAATGAAGATCATCAGTGCCTGTCTTCACGGGCTATAAAATGAATTGCTCGACTTGGGGTGCTCTGTGTGCAGCTTTGTTTTCTCTGGATTTTGACAGATTCCCAAAGTGGGTGTGGGCTGATCTGAGGTCTGAGGCAGAAGCTCTGCTGGGTGTCAACGCCCTACACGATGGGTAAGAGAGAGGCAGATGGAAGGCGTGGTGTCCTGCTGAGACGACGCAGAGGCAGAGCTACCTGGGCTTCGCAGCCAGTCATCTTGAGGAAAATACTCAACCGGGGTATTAATCAATATTAACATTTACACTAAGTAATTCTTAAATACCAACAATCGTCATCATTACACAAGCCTTAGGTCAACCTCAGATGGTTAAGCACTTGGAGTAACATTTACACTAAGTAATTCTTAAATACCAACAATCGTCATCATTACACAAGCCTTAGGTCAACCTCAGACGGCTAAGCACTTGGAGTAACATTTACACTAAGTAATTCTTAAATACCAACAATCCGTCATCATTACACAAGCCTTAGGTCAACCTCAGACGGCTAAGCACTTGGAGTAACATTTACACTAAGTAATTCTTAAATACCAACAATCCGTCATCATTACACAAGCCTTAGGTCAACCTCAGACGGCTAAGCACTTGGAGTAACATTTACACTAAGTAATTCTTAAATACCAACAATCGTCATCATTACACAAGCCTTAGGTCAACCTCAGATGGCTAAGCACTTGGGGAAACACTTCCCTGGTCTTTTATTCTCACTCCCAGTTTCTCTGGAATTTCTTCTCCTGGAAAGGTAGGGCTGTCTTCCCCAGAGAACTACATCACACACAGTTTGGGGACAAAGGGAAGGAAAACTTATAAAGTGCAGACAGTTGAAGCCGTCCCAACACACGTTAATTTCCACACAAATTCATCTCACAGACCTTTAAATTCGATGGCAAAACCGGACAAGCCCACAGAAGCATCGCTCCTGAAGGCCAGGAGGAGGCTGTTCCCACGGCTCTCAATCCTCTCCGGGGCCTGGGAGCCCTGGAGGCTCCCAATCAGGGGGCTGTTGGAGTCCTCCCCTTCGTAGATATGCAGGAAGTCATAGCTGGGCTCCATGCTGAAACTAGAGAGGAGAGAGAGAGAGAGAGAGAGAGAGAGAGAGAGAGAGAGAGAGAGAGAGAGAGAGAGAAAATGAGTCATGGCATCCCACGCAGATTTGCCTGCCATCTCACAGCACGTCTTTGAGAACACAGTGAAGCTTTGCTTGCTTTCATATAGTAACTTTAAGGATGACAACGATCAAAATCTACACATGATAGTAATCAGCATGTTAAATGAGAAGTGTCATTTGTAATAAGTACTACCAGTGTTTTACACAGCGTCTATTATGTTTGACAGTAAACAATTCCAAACGGAGTTAAAAAGGAAACAAGTCACAGGTCACAGGACCAGAGGTAGAATACCCTTCTCTGTCCCTGAGAATTTCCTAATGAGCTGCAACTTGGAAGAAATGGAATCTTGATTTCTTTTTTTTTTTTCTTTTTTTCACAGGGTCTCCCATAGCCCCAGTCCACCTGGAACTCACTATGTAGACCAGGCTGGCCTCAATCTCATAGAGATCTGCCTGCCTCTGTCTCCTGAGGGCTGGGATTAAAGGCATGAATCTTGATTTTTATGTGACTCTTTTGAAATTTAAAATGTATAAACTTTGCGTCATTGTGTATTCTAAAAGTTTTAAAATACAAACTTCTGTTGGTTTACTTTTACCTAAAAAATACGTAATTATTTCTGTTTCCATAGGTAAGTTAGCCAATATTTACCTTTCCTGTGTTGTAGAGCACTTTCATGTCCCTGGTGCGTCACCACATCAAAGACTCTGACCTCTCTCTCTCTCTCTCTCTCTCTCTCTCTCTCTCTCTCTCTCCCTCCCTCCCTCCCTCCCTCCCTCCCGCTCTCCTTCCCCTTGGCACTCTGTCTACCTCCTCCTTACTCTCTTTTGTAATGTCACTACCCAGCCCACTCCAAGACCCCGAGCATCCACTTTCTAGGATCATAGTGACATGCTATCCTTGCTACGTTCTTCAATGTAATTACTAATTATTTTTTGAGGCAGGGTGTCACTACATAGCCTGGCTGGTCAGGAGTCCACTGTGTACACCAGACTGGCCTCGACCTCACAGAGCTCCACCTGCCTCTGCCTCCAGGAGCAAAGGCATGCACTGATGTGCTTGTCTTGTCTTTGCTACTTGTGATGTGAAAGCTGAGGCATCTGTAAGGCCTGAACAATTGTACATGTCCAAGACACAGAGGAAAGACACAGAGGAATGCTGGGATCTAAGACGGTTGTGATGAAGATAAGTAACCACTTAGGAGGTCTGAAAATCCCCCAGTGGCCAGATTTGCGTTTTTCCTTTCTGCTCTGTGTGGGGTCTTTGTGTTTTTTTAATATTTATTATTTTCATTTTATGTGTGAGTGTATTGCCTGCACATATGTAAGTGCACCCATGTTGAGGTTAGAAGTGGGTGTTGGACCCCCTGGAACTGGAGTTACTAGTCATTGTTAGCCGTCAAGTGGGTTCTGTGATTTGAACCCTGGCCCTCTGAAGGGGCAGGCAGTACTCCACCTCGGAGCCATCTCTCCAGCCCCAGCCTATGTTTTTAAAAAGACTCAGTACAAATTTCTGTTGGCAGAAATTTCTAGTCCTGTGACAGAGCAGGTCAGAGGCTTTGGTAACTTTCCAAATGTTCTGGTTGAATGCCTGTGGTTCATCTGGAGAGTCATTGCTAGCAAGCACAGCAGGTGTCTCCCCAGGAAGCCCAGCGCCTTCCGAAAGGGGCAGGCAGAGCCCCCCTTCAGTGTTGTACCCCCACCCCCCACGGCTGCTGCCTGTCAAGGTTGTACTCTCTCCAGTGTGAGGTCTTTGAAGGCCAGCTTCAGAAAGATCTATCTCAGGCTTCTTAGATAAAGAAGGGGGGCGGATATTTGCAAGCTTGCTGATGTCAGGAAGGAAGAAGGAAAAGACTAAAGTCACTAGGTTTAGGGAGTTAGTGGAACTGTGAAAACTACAGAATATTGTTGGAATAATAGCTTCATTCACAGTAATTTTCCAAGGACAACATTAGGCCCTGGCTGTGTTCCATCTCCAATGTTTAGCATGGCTAATTATTATCATGATTATTCACTGAACACTGAAGTACAGACTCGGGGAAAAAAGAAAACACATTTTGTCTGGGATCTCTTTTTAACTGTAGTTCATGCATAGAGCGCTGGCATTTAATTTACAATCAATTTCAGTCCCTCTGTGAAGATTAGGCTTATTTTTACTTACCACAGCATCACATACATATAAATCTTAGTAACAGCTCTGGTCTGAACCAGCCTAGGAACTGTCCAGATCTGCAGGACAGTTATGTGCATCCCCACAGACAATGATACCAACACCGGCCTTGGAGCACACAAGAGCCTGTGGTCTTAGAATCTTTTTCTCCATTGCTTATAAGTCAGATTCCCATCCTCCCCACAAAACACAACAGAATCTAATCTGGTACATGAGGCTCTACATCACTGGACTCTCACAGGGTCCAGTGAGGTGCATCTTGTTCTTTGTCCCTGTAGACCACGGGGATGATGCCCACACACAGAGACACTCCCACAGTTCCCTTTGGGCATTTCATGTTTGGATGGCTGAGTTCCCTTGTCCCCACACAACATGCTGGCTACCTGTACTCCACCATCCCCGGGGTGATGACAGGTTACACTCATCTGAGCACAAGGGCTGTCCAGCTCAGAGATGCTACCCAAATGTGGAATTGACAAGGTTCTGGCCAAGCTAAGGCTTCACAGGCCCTAAGGACTGGAAGACACTTGGGGATTCTCTGTACATCTTCTAGAGAGGTGTGTGAAACACTGTGAGGAAACCTTCCTTATTTATGATCAAATGAGTTATTCTTAAGAAATGCTGGTAATTGGTCACTACAGCAGGGAAAGTAGGAAAGTGGGTAATGAGTCTGTTTGCGTCAGATCATTGCTTTACTCTTTATCTGCTAGAATCAGATGGGGCTCCACACCTGGGGGCTGAGAGCCAGCACAATCCGAGGCAAGGATACATGTCCACTGGAAGAGAGATGGGAACAGCCAGTCCACTTTGCCCTGGAGAGCTAAGTGGTCCACTAACGAGGCACTTAGCTGCTTACCTTTAAAAACATCACATTGATTTAATAAAAAACTTCAGAGCATGGTATTGAATTATCATACCCTATATATCAATAAGGTAGAATACTGTTGTGTAAATTACTTTTCTGCCAAGGTGAGCAAGTACCTGACAGGCACAACTAAAGGAAGAAGGAAGGAAGGAAGGGGGGAGGGAGGGAGGGAGGGAGGAAGGAAGGAAGGAAGGAGGGCTGGAGGGAGGGATTTCCATTTTGACTTTTAAATAAGAAAGTTCAAGCAGGGAAGAAAATAATGAAATAGGAAAAAGGAATGTGGAAACACAGAAAAATGTGTCACCTGACAAGTGCATAAGTACTGAGACCGGCAAACTGTGGCAATGATTTTGCCAACATTTAACATGTGAAAAATGTGTATAACTCTCCTGAGCAGAATGGATTGGAGGGAGGGAGGAAGGAAGGAAGGAAGGAAGGAAGGAAGGAAGAAGGAAGGAAGGAAGGCAGGAAGGCAGGAAGGGAGGGAGGAAGGAAGGGATTATTTCAGCTGCCAGTTCAGGGGCAACAGTCCATCATGGTAGGGAAGACACAGTGGCATGAGGCTCCATCCACGGCATGAATGTGAGAGATTGACCCCGGACTTGCTCATAGTTCAGTGGCTGGAAGCAGGGCCATCCTGCATCTCTCAAGTCTCACTTTATGAACCTATGCTTACCAGCAAGGCCCAGTTTCCAGAAGGCTCCAAACCATCAGTTGGGAATCAAGGATTCAAACACATGGATGGATGCGGAGACATTTCATGACTGAATCATAGAAATGGTGGGATTTTGGAAACCCCTCAGAGTATTTGAGCTCTGATCATCTCGTGCTGTAGACATGGGTCAGCATGTCTTGAAGCATGACAGCTGGGAGTCAAACATCAGAGCAAGCACGTCAGGCAGCTTCTATTTCGTAATCTCTACCTCATCCTAACTACAATAATGGCGGTAACAGCACATCCTGGGAAGAAGTCAGAGCACATCATGGAAGGGGACCAGCTCGCACTGCTTTAGAGAAACAGGAAACCCTGGCAAGGAGCCCACGAAGCACCTCCACAGCACGTGTGGACCACTCCTTCCAATATCCTGTAAATGAAGCTTGCTGAATAGAAACACTGTGGGCAGGACAAGCAGCATGTGAAGATAATTCTCTTGTGTTTTACAAGCATCACGCTCAGCAAGGCAAAGTGTCTTTCCCGCCACCCTACTGCTGATGGAGTATCTACCACACACAAAGCTGAAGACTCTCTAGGTGTCGTGTTGGCATTCACGTGCTAAATAGCGCACTTTGGGGCGTGGCAAGAAAATCTTACTGAAAACAGGTAGTCTGCACAAGACGTACCTTTTGAAAATCAATGCAATGACGAAGTCCGGGGTCACCTTTATTCTCCAGTCACACTCCTTCCCAGGAGGGTACGGCTGAGGGTAGTTAGGGGATAAAATCACTCCCGCTGGGCCTGTCAGGTTCCCACCACATGCAGCTGTCACAAAACAAAACCACAGAGGAAAAGTTAGGGGAGAGAAGAATCCTGAGCCTGGGAGGGAGGATCACTGCACTGTTTTAGAAAGGGCACAGTCATGAGCATCTTCATAAATATAGACTGCTAGAATTATCTAGATACCCTTTAAAAACCCTGAAAGTCTACATTTTCATGTGATGACTGTGAATTTTACTTTACTCCCAGTTTTGGGAGCATGTTCAAACTTCTTTTCCTTTCGACAGAGTCTCTGTAGCCCAGGCGGTTTCAGAACACACTACATAGCTCAAGCTGCCCTTGAAAATCATGGTGTCCTCCGGCCTCAGCCTCCCCAGTGTTGGGATTACAGATGTGAGCCCCTGTGTCTGCACCTTAGATGGTATTACATTTAACAAGTACAATGTCTTTTAACAATTGTTAAGTTTTATTCAAAGAAACTGAACAAGTCTACTTAGTCCTCACATCCTCTACACATGCTCACATGCACATACATGTGTGTGTATGTATACCAACATGGGCATAGAAAAACCTTCATGAACATCACCATGTGGTCATAGCAGTTCTGCTCCCATTTTCCTGCCTGTATTTAAAGTCACTCTGCGAATTCTCAAACAAAGGCTTTACCAACATGATGACCTATTTCTCCATCTTTATCTCTAACATATCACATAGCTCCTTTTTAAGTTTTTTTGATATTTTTAAATTTATATAATTAATATAGTCATTTATTTTTATGTGTCCTTTTACTGAGGGTTTGTGCATTCAATAAAATAGATCTTAATCTAATTTAGACACCCTCCCCATCCATATTGTCCCCCCCCCCACATCTACTGTAAGAATTCATGGAGTAGCTGTTTGATGAGTGAATATATGACATTTAAGTTTCCACAGTTCAGGGCTTGGGTTACTTCCCATATATCAAAACGGCAAAGTCAACTACAAGCATTTGTGTGACATTTAGGAATGCTACCACAGGTCCCAAACTGGAGTACTTGCCCCTAAAGACAATATTTTAGCATAGTGCTTAGAAATGTTCTGTTACTGGGGTTCTGGAGAGATGCTCAGTGATTAAGAGCACTGGCTGCTTTTGCAGAGACCTGAGTTCAATTTCCAGTACCCACGGCAGCTAATAACTGTCTGAACTCCAGTTCCAGGTGATCCAACACCCTCTTTTGACCCCCTAGGGCATTGCAATGACATGGGTGTACTTACATACAGGCAGGCGATACACTCATACACATAAAATAAAAATAATAAAAAGTAAAAAATAAAAAAGAATATTTCTGTTAAAAAGAAATGCTATATGTAATAATAATAAAGTTAGTTTTCAGTCATTGGTTTTGAATCTCACGTGTGCACATGTACACTGGTAAGGTACTGATTATGTAGCTAAATATTATTATTAAGTGGTTCAAATTTTGTTTTGGAATCTGAAATTATTTAGTGTTATTTTATGCATTAAATAATTTCTATTAAATCTTCTCTCACATGGAATTTGCTAAGACACTGAAATCTTGTAATATATCTGTTTAAAGTAACTATGGATTTTTAAGGCAACATCGTGGATTTGATAGTTCTTTAAGAACATTCTATGGTTTGTAGCCAAGTTATATAAAAATGTTATTCTAATTAAATCACATTACCCCTAAATTACAGAGTTTATTTAATATTTTTGACAATATATATGAAAAAATATTAGAAAATGCCATAATTGGCTATATTTCCCCCCAAATAAAGACTGTTCTATGTAAATGAAATGAAAGGGGATGGAATAGAAAAGGTGATTTACGTTTTCAGTGATGGGTCTATGAACTGACACTCAACATTCTGGAAACTTTAGTTTGTTGACAGAAACAGAATGGACTCTACTACCTTTTACTAGAAATTCAGTCTGATCAAAGTGAACTCTGAATAGTGCCGTAGGAACTCTGTGTAACTGTTCTTCAGGGTGTAAACTCCTGAGACATAGATCTGTCTAGAAACTGCAAAGCCCTGTTTCTCTTTAATAACAGTGTGAAGACCATTGCACAGTCCTTCCTGCCCTCACTGTGAGCCTCCCCTCAGCACTCCAGGAGGGTGCTGACAGCATCTTGCAAAAGGAGCAAGACCCTATAGGGGGTGCTGCTGATGTAGAGGGGAGGTGCCTGAAAGTCTAGAAGAGTCTGTTCGACATAGGGTTTGGAAGATAAAGGTGACAGATTTGGGGCTTGGCATAGTTACTCTTTTGGGTCTTGGAGCCTTATTTTAGCTTCGTTAGGCTTTAATTAGAGAACTTGCAAGCATTTGGGATAGGATTAGGATTTAGAAGATGCAGCTCAATGAGTCTAGAAACTCCACTGGGATGATGTCAGGATGATGCACAGAACTTCCGTTCCTCTTTCTCCACCACAAACACAGAGAACACCCTTCCTCACACAGCTTGTGAGCTGAACTGTGCGTTCAATGAGACACACTAATATTTCTGCGTGAAGACCCTGAAACAGTCACACCATGGGAGATAATCAGTCTTTAAAGGGCCGTCCTGCAGGTCAGGGCCAGTCCTTGGCATCAAATGGGATGTGCGGATTGAGTATAAATCTCTGCTTTTCAGAGCTCTGTAAAATGTGGACCTAAGGACAAATGGCTGCAGGCTGTCTAAGCAAAGGGAAGCCTTAGGGTTGGGGGACAGGACACACCGTGCCACCCATAAAGAAGTCAGGGTTCTCTTGGCTGGAGACTTCATCCCTCAAGTTCAGCTACAGTGCTGAGATGATCAGGGGTCAAGTGCGCTTGGTGCCCAAGTGTGAGGATCTGAGTTTGGATCCTCAGCACCCATGCAAGATGCTGGACATGGCTATGAACCCCTGTAAACCCCAGCACTGGGATGGGGAGTGGAGACAGGTGGATTCCTGGGGCTTTCTGGCCAGCTAGCCGAGCCGAATTGGTAAGGTCCGGGATCAGAGAGAGACTGTCTCAAATTTGTGGAGCACAATTGAGGGACATATGTGACAGTGATCTTTGGTCTCCACATGTGCATGCATAGGTGAGTGTAACTGCACACACATATACATACACACAACACACAGTCACATAGACACAGACACACAATCATTCAACACACACATCCACAATATACACACAAAATAATCACATAGACATCATTCACACATACAAAATATGCATATGCATATAAAACACACAAACATAATCACACTCACAACACACATACATATATAATATGCAGGTACACACACAAAAACATACACAACACACACATACAGACATAATATCCACACAGTCACAGAGACACACATGTACACACACATATAACACATATACAATTCACACTCACATACACACATTCACACACACACACATCAGCAAGTTTTGGAAATGTGTGTCATGGGAGACAGGTGGGATGCCAGGAGAGTTCACACATAGAAACAGACATAGGACACAAGAGGACAGAACACAGCAGTGATGAGGGTCGGGAAGGGAAAACTCACTGGCCAATCTGCAACAAACAAATGCCCCAGTAAGCAAAAGGAAAGATAATGCTCAGCTCCATGAGTGATCTAAAATGTGAATTTCAACAAGACACATGTTAATGACAAGGTGGGTTGCATAAGTATCCTGAAAGTTTTTAAAATGTCAGAAAAGTGTAAGTCTGCAGAAAGGCACTATCCCTCCACAGTCGTGGATGTTTTACAAAAGACTGGCCCACAATGGTTGCTTTCATACAGACAACAGGCCTCAACAACTTAACAGCTCTCTTGGAACTGAGCCCAGCTCTAGTGGGTTAGACCCAGGAGACAGCACTGCTGTGACAGGAGAGGAGCTGTCTTCAGAGAGACACAGTCAGGAGAAATGTGGAAACCAGCACCAAAATACGCTACATCAATATTCAAGCAGGACTCCACTTAAAAACATTTTAAAAGAGGTAAAAATATATAATTATGGTTTTATTTATATTAACAGCGACTGCCTCCAGTACAAAGATGATTTTTCCCTCCTCTTCATTTGCTATAGCTGATGAAACAGCTGATAAACTAATGTTATCTCTTAGAAGAAAAAAGCTTAAAAACAAAGTCTTAAATCTTGAGCAAAGAATTTATATGTGTGGTGGTCCACAGTCAGCTGGGCGTCACTATGGAAATGTGTTGCCAGGGACACAACACTTATTTCTAAAATCTAAAATTTACAATGTAATGGAGAGATTACGTCATATATTCCCAACATGCACAGTCCATCTCCCTGTTTCATAATATCTGTGCATGTAGGCAGGTCTAGTTCCCAAATGGGTGACTACTCAATTGCTTACAAACGATTTCATTTTGCCCTGAGAACTGACATTCTAGCCCTGGACAGATAATGCATGTTTTCTGATGAGCCTGTATTACTAGTTTTTGCCCAAAATTACATTAATCATGACTTTATTGTAAAATGATAAACTGTCTTTAACATACCAACTTAGAGCTGCTTTTTAGTATTTTCCTCAATGAGCTTAAAAATACAAACTGGAGCCAGGTGTGGTGGTGCATGCCTGTAGTCCCAGCACTTGGGAGGCGACAACTATGAAAATCAATATATGCACTAACATAAAAGTCAGTTTAAAAAAAAGCCTTTGAAAGTATGGCTGTTTGCTCTGTTTAAAAAAAAAAAAAAAAAAAAAAAAAAATACAAACTGGAAAAAAATAAAAAAACTTTCCTAATTTAGAAACAGGACAAAGGTACAAAATAATGGGTGTTTGTAGAACATATACCCCATTTTGAAATAGAAATATTCAGAATCTCAGGTGCCTCTCATTAACCCAGTGTGTACTGAAATGTGACTGTGCTCGCAGAACGCAGGACCACGAATGTGCAGAGAGCACTGAAAGATCACGGATTTCTCTCTGGCTGAGGGTGCCAGTCAGCAGGGCTCTGGAATCTCATCTGTCATCAGAATAGTCCGCAGTAAGGAGAGCAGTGCACACCAGCTCTGCATGGATGTAGGACATCAATGAGAATCATGCCATACGGCCCCACAAGGTCACTGCTGCGAAATGGCCGCAGACATCGGTGGTCACTACACTGCCACATCTTCTACGACAGAGTAATTAAATTTTGTAATTTTCAAACAGAATCTATGGGCACATGAACTGAACTGTAACAGTTCATTAGAACAATAGTGTTTGGTAGAATTTCCTTTAGAATTAAATACTCTAAGCAGGTATTTCATGTTCAAAAATTTAACTGAATGAAGGGTGGTCTGCACATAATTGCAATTTTATATGAAAATATATTTCCCTACAATCATATTTGTGATAGATCACCCTAGATATCTATTAAGACCAAAGTCTGTGGAACCATTTGTTACCATGTTAATAAGGTGGAAGAGTGAATTTTAATGAGTTTTATAAACAAATTTCTCCTTTATTTCCATTCCCCCAGGCAATACAATTTCTAGTTTTCAGCATTCTATTTAAAATGCACTGATGTTCTAGAAAAAAATATTTCTTAAAAGAAAAAGTACTTTTCAGTAGTAGGTTTTGCTTGAAGGCATGTTTTTATATTAAAAAGAGACCAGCCATGTTGGGCTTACAAATTTTGAGTCACCTAGAATTTAAAAAAAAAAAAAAAAACTAGTTTGGTTGATCTGTATTTACATAAGAATTTTTAAGGACAAGAATTATTAGATAAATGTCAGTTACCATACATTAGGTAAATCACTTCCTTTATTTCAGCTAATAAAATAAAGGTTTGCAATAAATTCTTGGTGTGGTCTCAGAGCCCAAGACCATTTAAAAAGCCCCTGAGAAAGAGCTCTGGAGGAATTCTACATTAGCAGGCCAGTTTGAAGACTAGACTGCATTCATTTCCAAATATTACATGTCTTTGTGCTGTGGCCGCTACCTATGCATGTGGGAGACTATGTACTTTGCCGGCTACCTATGCACGTAGGCGGGTCTGGCTGCCAGAAGAACCTGTTGTTGAGCTGAACACAGGTGACTTTGGCTTGTCCTTGGAGCTGGTATCCAGGGTCACACTGGAAGGTGATGGTGTCTCCAGGTTCCCGGCTGTCGCCATAGCGGGTCCCATTCTGCGGCATCCCAGGGTCATTGCACGTGGATGCGATGGTCGCTGTAAGGAACAAGCAACAGAGAGTCAGGTAACTGAGGGCAGGGTCTCTACGTACGTGTTTCTAGCATGTGGTGCTCGGTGTTGTATATGTGTCAAATGTGTGTAAGTGGAGAGAATTGTTTCCTGGTGTGGGGAGAGCCAATGATGGTCATTTTGCTTCTGCTTCTACTGAACAAGTTCTAGAAAAATCTTATTGAAATTTGACCACTTATGCACAGATTAATATCAACATCTCCACATTACATTTGGTATGTAATACATACACATCCTTCTCTAATCTGCCCTTTAACACTACTTTAATGCAATCGTACTTCAGAGTTAAGTAATTTGATGAGAGAACCCTAGTCTCCATGAATCTGGAGCAAAATGCAGTAAGTAAAACAGGAACCTGGAGCTGTGACTCCTCACAGTGATGGGGGAGTGGTCCAAAGGAGGATGGTCCAACCTACCTGGGCGCCGTGGGTCCACAGGGGCTACTGCCTATACGAAACGATCAATTATCCTTTTATTTTAAAAAAATAACTTTATCGATTTTTGAGACTTTCACGCAGTGTATTTTGGTCATATTTAGACCACTTCTCCACCCCTAGCCCCACTGCACTGCCCCCCCATGTCCTCTATCAAGTCTTTTTTGTGTTCCCCAAATGCTCTTGGGTCCAGACCATGGAGTCTGGTCAATTTTCCAGACATCACATCCTTAAAGAAAACTGACTCTCCCTCCCCCAGCAGCTATGGATTGCCAGTAGGTCCTCAGCTAGGACTAGGGATCTGCCTGTCTCCTCTGTCCATGCTGAGCTTTTGATTAACACAGAGACCCACAACTGGTCACTGTGCAGAGAATTAACAACTTGGAGCATGCAGCCCTAAGTGGAACACTTGCACTACACATGGTCCTTCAGTTCAAGTCTTTTTTAAGGACTTCTAATTTAGTCAACTAGTCTTTTAAAAAAGGGTTGGTGAGGAAAATGGGGCAGGGAGACAGCTTTACGAAGAAATATGCTCGATGTGTAAACACGAGAACCTGCGTTTGGACCCTCAACACCCATGTAAAAAGCCCGGCATGCAACGGTGCTCGCCTAGAAGCCCAGTGTTGGGGATGTAGAGACAGGAGGGTCCCTGAAGCTCACTGGTCAGTCAGTCTAGGAAAAAGGGCAAGCTCCAGCAGGCTCCAGGTTCAGTGAGAGACCTTGTCTCAAAAACTAAGATGAAAGTTCATGTGACATACACACATCATACACATACACACATGCATCTACATACACACATACACATACACATCTACATATACACATACACATGCACACATGCATCTACATACACACATACACATACACACATACACATACACACATACATCTACATACACACATGCGTCTACATACACACATACACACACATCTACATATACACATACACATACACACATACATCTACATACACACATGCGTCTACATACACACACATCTACATATACACATACATACATACATCTATATACCCACATACACATACACACATACATCTACATACACAAATACATCTACATATACAAATACATCTACATATACACATACACACATACATCTACATACACACATACACATACACAGATACGTCTACATATACACATATACATACACACATACATCTACATATACACATATGCATACACAGATATGTCTACATACACACACACACATATACACATACACACATACATCTACATATATACCCGAGCATGGTGGGGGGAGAGGGAAAGGGAGAGAGAGAGAGCGAGAGAGCAAGAGCAGAGGGGTGAAGGAAAAGAGGAGGAGGGAGGGGAGAAAGAAAGTTCAAGGATTCCCAACCAGTTGGGTGGGTGCAGGCTGTGCTGCTCCGCGCTGGTGGTGGTCTGGAACACTTGAGCAGATGGCAGTCACTAAAGTCCCCCAATTACATCACATGAAGCTGTCGGCCTGTCTGAGCCCTGGCAGAATAGATACCAGGAGCCCAAGACCCATTCTACAGCTCTAGACCCACATCATGAGATCTTAACAGCTCAAGAAAGGAGTGAGATGTTGCAGTTAGGGCTGTGCACTTCCTTCCCTTTCTAGAAACTTCCTGTGTTCTGTGCTAGGAAACAAACACAGAGATCCAAAGTTTAAAGTTCTTTCCACACAGTTTCTCATCAGCCAGAACAGTGAGTCCTTTCTTCCTAGTCACAGCTTAGGGGGTCACAGTGGAAGGTTTCCTCTTCTGTGAAGAGCTCCGTTGTGTGGACACCAGGACTCAGAACACAGGGACCTGGGGCAGCTGTGATCACCTGCCCTGCAACAATGTCCTAATATTTTCTGACTTAATGAGTGGGCTTTGCTTTTGATTTGTAAATTCTGGATCACTGCTTCATACACACACACACACACACACACACACACACACACACAAATGAATAGCATAATATGTATATTTATATGCATGTGGGATACATTTTGACCTTCATACATGGCTAAATTCATTTAAATAAAAATCTGGGATATAAGAGTTTTAAAACGGAAGGTGGAGATGTAGTTCAGTTGGTAGAGAACCTGGCCAGGATACACGGTTCTAGCCCTGGGTTAGATCCCCAGCACCACAAAAACTGAACCAGGTGGCATGTGTCTGTAATCCCAACACTGTGAAGGTAGAGGCAGGAGGATTAGAAGTCCAAGGTCATTGTCAGCCATATGGAAAGTTCAGCCAGTGGTGCGGGGGTCCCTGTCCCAGAGAAAGCCAGGAAACGAAACAGAAGAGACTTGCCTGGTGGAGGACTCTAAGCTGGAGACAGAAGACCGTGTCACTGTGCGGTATCAGGGACGAGGGCCCCAAGAGGAGGAATACTAGTGCCAACATAAAGGACCCCGGAATGGGCCAGAGCATGTCAGATTCCAGGCCTGCTCAGTGGGATGAAGTCAGAACCTACTGACCACTTAGCCTCACTGATCTTTCAACTGACTACTCGATAAAAGTGAGGCTGATAACCAAGCTACTAGGCGGGATGGGAAAAGGCATGAGAGCTGGTCCCCGCCCCACCCTTTCTGAGAAGATGGTCGTATAACATGAACAAATACAGCCTCTGCAGGTCTCCTCTAGACCCTGTCCCCACAGTGCATTCTGAGACCCCGTCCCCCGCAGGACCACAGGCTTAACACTGCCCTGCAGTATGAAAGTCTTACTTTATCATTGCTGAATTCAGTCTATTCTAAACTTATGGAAGCCTGGAGTGTATTCTCTGATCCCCTTACCCCCAACCATTACAATCCTTTCAAATGAAGACCCACAGAGAACCAGTGTGTGGAATGCTGGCTCTCACTGACAATGTATGCCCTTAAATACTTAGAGCTTTGAGTCATTCTTGACAGAATCCTTTCCTTTCGGAACCAAACATTTCCTTAGAACATCTGTAATAATGATGATCATCACACAGAGCATGCACTTGGAAAATCGTGCACTCATGAAGTTGGTGTTGTATAAACATAAACACTGAGTCTAAATATCTCCTTCTGGTCCCAGCTATGATGATCATGTGTGCATGTGCTTAGTGGATGAGCGTTTTACCTACACACCTTCAAAGACTATTTGTGATTACTAATAAATCCACTCTTGAGGCATCCTTGAGTTGAAACAAACTCCCACTTTAGGAATTATGAAATCAAATAAAGAGTTCCTGGGGTATTCAGATCAGATTACCAAAGCAGTAACTATGCTTAGGGAGGGAAAACAGACAGTTTTAAACAACGCTGAAGGGAACACGATGGTTACGTCTTTAAAACAGATTTTATTTCATTTTCCTTTCGATGGGAATTGTGGATGGATAGTCCCTGGGAAAGACCAATAACCTCATCCCTCACACATTTGAAAGTCCAGCCACAGATGTTGAGCTGGGCAGCAACTACTCCTCCCGCCACCCCCAGGGCCACAGCAAGTTACTGCTGAATCCCTGCTCCACTTTCTGCAGCCCCTTCAGGGTCACAGGGATCTTCCACTCATTTTTGTCCTCACTATTTTTGTTCCAAGTGGGACTGGGGGGATTCTTGACCTTTTTAGCATCTCACAATAAAAGAAAGAGCGATGGTTTCAGCTGTACCCAGGCCCTCCCACATTCCCATCAGGACATGAGCCAGCTTGAGCTGATGAATGTTCATGTTCTCCATTGCCTGAGATCCCTGGAGCATTCCAAACCACAGGGGCCCTCCCTTGGCTGGTTCCCATCTAAAGGACAGCCTGCTAGCTGTCCTGCAGAATCCAGAACCCTCCCATACACTGGAGAGATGACTGCACATGTGAGCTCCATGTTGACAGCAACAGCTGACATTTTGTTGACAGGGTTCAGCAGTTCTGGTGTAGATCTCTCTCGTAGTGAAAAGCTGAGGTGAGAGCAGTCTCTGTCCAACTAGATGATACCAACTTTGACCCCAGGGACATTGTAGAATACAATTCTAACTTGTTTTCCTATTTTGTAAAATGAACACTAAGACTTTAGGCTGCAGCTTGTTAAATGAATAAGCTTCTCCATACACATTTAAAAACCATTCCTTGGCTGAGTTCACAGAAGTACAACTGCCTCTCCCTTTCAACAATTTCTAGATCTACAAACTGAAAACAGTGGGAAATAATGAAACTGGCTCTGCCTTGGACACAAACAGACTTATTTTTCTTGTCTTTATTCCCTAAAGAGCATCTGACTGTTTACAGAGCATTTCATCGCCTTGGGCACTACAAGTATCCAGAGATGTACGGAACACAGGGGAATGCGCCTCATTATTTTTGGATACTACATCATGCTATGCCAGGGACTTGAGCATCCAACGATCTGGTATCTGAGGAGTGAACCAATCTTCCAGCCAAGGATGGAGGCAAGTTTGCTTAGTATGTCTGTGTTATTGGAAACCCACTGTGTGCAGCACACCAAGGGAGATGAATTGCTTCTGACATCTGCAGAAACATGTAAAGCAGTGTGGGTATGTGCCATCTGCAGAAAGAGG